CACTCTCTCTCAGAGCCTGCAATCAGGCAAGTCAAGGCTGTGCTCGTCCTTGCTGGCCCAGGAGACCAAGGAACCCATTAAATCCCCTCCTCCTGTATCACCCTCCAGGGGTGATCTCAATGTAATGATGAAGTTCTGGTCCACAGAGTCCTGAACTTGTGCTGGAGATTCCTGCCTGGTGTGGATTTGGGGGAGACCACCTGGCTAACCCCAATTGATCAGTTAGTGGGCAATTGAAAGGCTTAGTAAGATGGAGTAGCTTTGCCACGCACAGTATCCTAAATGGAGCAGGCTCAAAGGCTTAGGCAATCCATAATTCCTTAGATTTATGGGCACAAAATGGCTGAAACTTCTTGAAGCCTCTAGATCAGCAGTTCTCAACCTGTGCGTCGAGACCCCTTTGGCGGTCGAACGACCCTTTCACAGGGGTCGCCTGAGACCATCCTGCATATCAGATATTTACATTCCGATTCATAACAGTAGCAACATTACAGTTATGAAGTAGCAACAAAAATAATTTTATGGTTGGGTCACAACATGAGGAACTGTATTTAAAGGGCCAGAAGTTTGAGAACCACTGCTCTAGGTGCTTTCCCCAACAAATAATCCAGATTCAAATGAATCAACTTCTCTACAGCCACCTGTTCATTGGCTGACCCAGATTTTGTGGAGTGTAAAATTTACATAATTTGAGGAAGCCCTCTTAAAGGAAAAAACTACGTAAGTGTGAATGCAAAATTAGGTATGAAGATGAGTGTTACTTAGAATAGGAAATACATCAAAACAAAATAAAATTTAAGTTGAAAAATACCACACACTAAAATATTTAGAAAAGTAAATCTTTTTGTACTACAGATGTCTGTATAAAAACTTTGTTCCTGCAAATTCCCTTATAACTTTTTAAATATAATTTTCTAATATTTTATAGAGAGAAAATAGAAAGATAATTCCATCTAATTGAAAATTAAGTTGTATTTTTAATAATTTAGGGAGGTTTCTTTCAGATTCATCACTCCTTATTGGTCATTTCACCACTAAATTATTGGCAAAATATTTAGATTTTTTAAATATTGAAAAACTCTCATACATTTTCTTCGTAGATGAGCTGTTATATTTTAGGACATTTCAAGTTATTTGTGTATGTGTATACACTCAATAACTTAATCTTAAATGTTCTTTGACCTGATAAATTCATTAATCATCGTATCATCAGTTTTATGTTGGTCCCTATATGTTGTGTCAGCATGAATATTACTGGAAGCTGTTCCTACTGATACTCTTGTAATAACCAGACACAGACGTGATGCAAACCACACAAATATATCTCACTGAATCCTAATTAAATGCCACTTCTTCCCAAGTTCCTCTTAGCCAGGTTCCCAGAATTTCCGCAGGCACTCCAATGTCACCCAACTCGAAGTGACATGTAGCGGATGACACCCTAGTGAAGAAAAACAGTGATCTTAACCAATCGCGAATTTCACAAAATACGTGACCATGTGGCACTATTACTAGGGCTTGTTTCAGAGCCCTGTGCGAGCAAAGAGCCCTCAGATACAAGCTTTATTAGTTCTGTGGGAAATGTACATGTGAAGGTTTACTCAGGTTAAACTGGGCCTCCCTGCATGGTGGCCTGCTAGGTTTCCCATCCGTAGTCACTAAATGCTGAGAAATGACTGGGATCTCAATCCAACTTAGTTGCCCAGTGTTTTCTCAACTTGAAAATCTTGCCAGTTTTGAGTTCTATTCTTTCACATTACCACCTTCATACAGTAGATAAAAAAATAGATGAAGATTTAATGTTCTCCTTTTCTCCAAATACCATGATTTATTTTTCTCCACCAGGGAGGCCACTGAGCAATGCTCAGCTCCACCATGGACTCTCAGTTTGCCCCTAAGAGGGAACTAGGTTTTGGTTAGACTTTTCTGTCCATTGTAATAAAGGCTTCCCCTAGTTTATCTCCTGATATTGGATAATTCCTCTTGTCCATGGGCTCCTGGTATTCATGGCCTCTATCCTGGCCTGTCAAATCACCATCTTGCTTAGGGCCCAGCTCATCAGCTCAATTGATGAGTTGATGTGTGTGTGAACTAGCCCTTCCCAATCCATGTGATATCCTGCATCTGTGACTCTTTTCTTATATGGTTTGTGGTGTCCTCAGAGTTTGACTTGACTGGACAGTGGAGCCCATTGTGGGGATGGATCATGGAATAATTTTACCACCATGTCCCTCCTTGGTCTTTTTTATTTTTTCCCTCTTCGTAGAACATTAGATTCACAAAGGGTCTCAGGAAATGGATTCTGACCTGCCTGGCTTGACTAAAGTTGTTCTACTTTTCTCAGCTTATCTTCTCCTCCTAGCTTTGTTCTTCTTTCCCCCCAATACTTTGATTTTTTTTCCCCACCAATGAGGCCACTGAGCAATGATTGGCTCCACCACAAACTCTCAGATCATAATAGGATGGCCAATCCCTGTTTGTGTTTATGTCATTCCTGTATGTTTTATTGATACATTACCCATTATAGGAGAATTAATATTTTTTAATTAAGTCTTTGAAAATAATGTGTTGCTTTCACTACTAGAAAAAAATTAAGTTTTATGGATTTGCATATTATAAAATATTTTACTACGTGGAGTATACCCTTCATCATTTCAACTTAAAAACAAAACAAAACATAGAACTATAGAGGAAAGTGTGGTAAAACAATTAAGTGCATTAATTTTCTCTCAAGTGATCTGAACTCAGCCTTACCTGTCCAGAGAAAAGCTGGTTCATGTATCCAACAGTAGGAGTGAAAACCTAACTGTTCTAGATACCCACAGCTAAGCTGATTTCAACCCTCACGCATGCCATATCCTGGGAGCAGTCTGGACTCACAGTAGCTAGTCTTTCCCTGTAAGCCATGGTCTAGTTTCCTTGTTAAACCTTTTGTCTTCCTGGACCAAGATCCTTAACCTTTGTCACATCACTGACTTGGAGCATCTGCTTGATCACCTGGCAGAAGTGACACCGGCTCTGGAATACCTCAGCCTGCTGGGTAACGTGGCGTGTCCCAACGAACTGGTCAGCTTAGAAAAGGACGAAGAAGACTATAAGAGATACAGGTGAGCATCTGGGTTTGAGCATGGTGAAGGAAGGAAACAGCATCTTTTGGGGGGATAATGTACTATTGTGTGTGTAGGAGATGTTTGGTAAATATCAGTGGATTCCACATGATAATATTAAACTTTTACCTTTGTGTAACCTATAGCTATTGTCTCCTTTTGTTGAAGTCACAGGAGCCAAGAAGCATGGAATGCTGTTGAGTGGTCTAGGTCAGGGGTTGGCAAGCGTTTTTGTAACGGGATGAAGGTCATATGGTATCTGTTGCAACTATTCAACTTGGCTGTTATCGTGCAAAGTAGACATTTGTAAATGAGCGGGCATGGCTACGTTCTAATAAAATTTTATTTAAAAGAAAAAACAGACAGCAGGCCAGATTTGTCTCTATTTTGCTGACCTATGCTCTGTCTTGTCAGGTCTTCCCGACGTCTGCTGTAGAGTCACTTTTTGGAGAAAAAGCACCTCCCACTGAAGTTTAGGGAGCTTATATAAAATCCCAAGAGGAAGTCCCACAAGGCCCAGAACTTTGTTCCTTAAAACTATGCCCAAGTGCCCGTTGACCATGTGCTTCGATGGGTTCCAAGTAGAAATGCTTTTCTTTATTGTTTCTACTCCTAAACCATCTGCTTTGAAACACCAATCCAAACTCATCTCCGTTAGGGAGCCTTCTCCATCGTACTGATTTCATAAACTCGTGTTGTTTTCCTTCTTCATTTTGAATTCTGTATGCTCTCATTCTTGACTATTGTTTGGTAAATACTTTTAATGATCATCTCTGATGTGTTGCAAGTCTCTCCATTATGATATATGCCCTCATTAAAACCCTACTCGAATCAATGTGGGAAGGAAAGAGGGAGGAAGGATGGAAATATAAAACCTGTAGGGCTACTGGAAAATAAATGTGGAAGAATTGAGGAAAGAGGATAATAATCCGAGAGAAATGTGTTCTATTAAGACTCATATAAAAATCTGTGGTGACCCATGAAGGAACATAGCTGCGGGCATTCATTTGTATAAGCAAAACTGTAAGAAATACTGAAGGCTGTTGAAAGTAATATGTTTAAAACACACAGACACAAACAGACACACACACACACACATACACAGTAAAGCTACAGTAGGATTTTAGTTACATTTCTTCGTTGGCAAGAATTTTATACCTTTTACTTCATTTTCTAGCTTGCTTGATTAATTTTGTAGCAATCTTAGCTGCTTGCTTTTAAACTATCTTAGAATAAAGCTACTCTTAAAAAATGTACTAAATCTTTCTCCATCATGAAGATTTTCATTTGAGATATGATACTGTCAATTCGAATGTGAGTTCTGCCAGGAGAAATATGTTTAATGTCCAGCAGGTGAATAGTTACACATTTCTAAATCAACCCTTGAAGTTGCATAGTCGCTTAGAACTTAATTTGCTTCTTTGACACTCTTATCAACTCTGAAGCATTTAACAGCCGGATTTCAAGCATGAAAGGGTGGCTCAAAACGTATTTTATCTTCTTGCGGCAACTTATTTACTAGTATATGTCTTAGAAAGGTTGAGCAAGTCCAAGAAAGTTCTGTCAATCAACATTTTTAGTAAACCAAGCCTTACTTGGGAAATTCTCAGTTGTTTTTCTGTTTCTTTCTTTCTGTGTTTAATTTTTTAAAAATAGCCAACTAAATTTTATATGTGTGTATGCATGTACATGTGTGTATGTGCACACACATTCACACACACATGTTCATTCATTTATTAATGTTCATTCATATTCAGGGGCTTCAAACTAGGCAATTTTTCTTTTCTAGGATGAGAAAAGTAGAGTGAGGACAGTTTCTAATCCCACCTTATTTTATTCAGTCTCATAGAAAGAGGGTTTGATGAGGTTATAAAAGAACAAGAAAAGCTAATACTATTTTTTTTTTTGCCAATGCCAGTCGGTCACATTGGCAAAAATACTAAGACCCAAGGTGTAAGGGGTCAAATAAGATGATCTGATATGGAGTCCAATTTTCCAGTGGGACTTTTTAAATGGAGAGGCCAGTCTAGATCAGGATCCCTTAACCAAGGTGATTCTTCTGAATCGTCCAAGGCATTTTGATTAAGTTAGTGGCAAATGCACCAAAATAGTCACGAGGCGATTCTGATGCTCCGTGAAGAACTGTGTAGCTAAGTGGTATTTAAAATTCCCGTGGGCTCTAGCATTCTGAGATACTCTGCTCCCAAGCGGGTACAGCTCTTGATTTCCTAGCTCATGTTTCATTCTGCATTTTATCTTCTGTATTTCTCTCACTACCTCATATATTTCACCATTCAGAGAGTGGCTTCCTGTAGGTAAAGACTGCATCTTCTTGACCCTTGAAGCCTCCGTAATACCTAAAGTAGACATTAATACCTAAAGCAGACCATGGGATAGGGGCTTGGTAATGTTTCTGAAGCTAGATTGAAATTACTCTTCCTCTCATAAGCTGAGCATCAATCAACAGATGCAGGGCCCTTTGGCTCCTCAGATGGCCCACTGCATATTTGGAAAAAGTTCCATTTGGATCTCGACAAGTGCAGGTAATAAGCAAGAGATTATCCTTCAGACTCAATCCAAGGGGTGGTTGGCCGGTGCCTGATTCCTTAGGGTGGGCTTGATTCTAGAAGCGTGATCCATGTCATGGACTAGGATGAGCACCCTCCAAGCCTGTCCTCCCCGCTCCATGCCTGGTCCCTGGAGGGTGTGGAAGGGTGGGGCTGGGAAGGCTATTTGTTAGTTGCACATATGGCAAAGTTGCCAAGGGGAGCGGGGTTTTAGAGGCCGCACACACAGTCGAAGTCACATCCAGTCAAATTTAGCTGAGAAAATTCAGAAGTCACCTACAAGGATGGCAAGGTGCTCATACTCTGAGAGAAACAGAAATCAGGAGCAGTGGTAGGAACACGTGTGCCCATCCAGGCCCACATTAGCTGCATGGCCTCTGACTGCTGCATGGAAGAGTAGGCCCATGCTGCAGTAATTCTGAATTTGTCATTCCTCTGTTTGTTTGTTTGTTTTTTTATCTCTCATTTGACAAGCATTCCCACACTTGCATTTGGATGACATGAATGTGTATATGACCCAGTTCTGCTCTCTGGTCCATAACAGCCCCGCTTTGTTCACCCTGGAATCTGTGCTTCAGTTAACCCTGAGAAGTTTTAGGGCTTCACAATAAGTCTTTTGAACCCAGAGTTCCTGTGGCATTTGGGTTTCTACCAAGCAATGTAGCCACCTTTTTTATATTCTCTTGGTAAACTCTCTTCCTGGCCCTTCATTCACGAAGTATGATGTCTGCCTGCCTTCTAGCTCTTACTGGAGCCCAATCCTAGGGCCTCTATGTAAATTTATGTGACATTTTCACTAGAAAATTGCTTAAAAATGAATGATATTTCTACGGTTTACTGTTTTTCACTTTAAGTACGTTTTCTGACAATATGTCTTCTATTAATCATTTAAGCAATAGTAGGAGCCTTAAAGGAGTGTATTCAGAAGCAAGAACCCATGGCTCATTTAGTGCTGTCTAAAAGAATGTCTTATTGATTGGCATCCTCTGTGGGTATGTGATGTAATATTTATAATATGTCACCCCGCCATACATCAAAACAGGTATGTCCGTTGTTGCATTTCCATGGGAGACGCTGATTTCTGAGAGGTCTGCTAGGTTTTAGGTCACGTTGTGGCCAACCACTGGACCAGAAATGGGAAGTGACTAGAGTCACAGAGTTGTTGGAAATGGCTTCATAGATGCTTTGGTGTCTGCAGACTCTTTTCTCCCCTGTCCCTCACCACCCCCTTTCCTTCCTCATTTACCCCCTGTGCACCGGGTTAGATTTTCTTGGCACACATCCCCACAGTACAATGGGCTCATTAAATCTGAATGGGAGCATGAACGTATTACCAAGTTGTTGATCAGTGCCCTGGTCCTGCTGGGGCAGGAGCAAAACCATGCCTGGAGTTTCTCTTTGCCATTCATCATAGATCATGGCTGAGAACTGTCCATGGCCATGTTATTATAGGAGCCTAAACCTGCCCATGCTTTGCTGTGTACACACTGTGCTATTTTGGGATGAATGTTGAATGGAGGTGAATGTGATAACCAGCAGCCTTCGGGGTTTGAGCAGGAAGAGTGTGGGTGAGGCAGAGCTTGGCTTGGGAGACCACCATCATACTAAGAAACCACTTAGGGCCTCCTGTGGACTTCAACACTGGCCAAAAAGTGGATCCAGGATGGAAACCTGGGTGCCCAGCGTGTTCTACTTCTTGTCTTCCTTTATAATTCCTTTCTTTCTTCTTACTGCAGGAAAGAAAGTAGCCCGGAAGTCAACAGTACACAAGCGCTAACTTCAGATGTCAAATAAGGGAGGTGGGCTCATGGTCTCAGCTCCACTTCTGTCATTTAAAGCCTTTGTCATTCATTCTCTTCTGTCACTGCAGGCTTTGGTCAGCCTGTCCTTCCTTGTTCCTCCCCAGTAGGTCCCTCTGTGTTCCTTACAACATTAAATTATTTTAAATGTGACACCCTCTCTTTGTTCTCTCCAAGGGAGCAGCCCAGGGGCCTGCCCAGTGTCTTCAGCACTCCGCCAAAGGGCAGGAGGGAGGGACCCTTTGCAGTCTGTGGGCCATCCTGGGCTACCACCATTTCCCCGCTGAGTAGGAGCTGTAAAACCTGTGGCTTACATAGCCCAGCTAGCATGCTCCAGCTAATCTACAGTCTGGGCTTTGAAGATCACAAGAAAGCAGAGGTCACGACCCAGAGATCAAAGTGACAGAAGCCCACAGAATAATTGCTGGTTACCCTCTGTAGAGGGCCGTGGTGTGTCCTGTGGGTGTATTGTTTGCCCTGCGACTTCAAACATTCTGCCCAAATCAGCTGGCCTTTGCCAGTTGTCAGGCGTTCATTAATGCTGTAGGTGAGCTCACCTCGGCTCATTAGAGTGAGATCATTGTCATCTCTCTGAGCATCTGGAATTATTCCACATAGTACTTGTTCATTACGCTTTGTTCTTTATTGACATTTTCTAACCGTCCTCTTTTACCTGGAGGTGTGAGGAGGCAGTTATATAAGGAAATTGGAGTAGTAAGAATGGAGAATATGGATGTATTTATTGTAAATTAACTTGGAGGCTCATAGAAGTCAAGCAAAATAAAGGTTAAAAGAGGCTTAGGCATCATTTAGCCCATTCCCTTCATTGCACAGATGGGGAAACTGAGGCTCAGGAAGGTGGTAGAGACTGAATCAAGATTGCACAGCAAGATAATCCCAGAGTCTGGCCTTTTCCTTTGGCCTGTTAGTCCCCAAGCTTTTTGTTACGAAGATCTCCCCTCTTTTTTAAAATTTTCTTCCCTGTACTTTAAAGCTTTGCCTCCTAAATAAATAAATAAATAAATAAATAAATAAATAAATAAATAAAAAGCTTTGGCTCTTAAATAAACTGCAATTAAGCCATCACTAACATTTAAAAATTAGTCAGACACATTTAGCAGTTGATCTGTGTTTTGAATCAGCATCAGGTAACCAGGATTACCAAACAGGGTTGATGCAATCCAGTCAAGAGCAAAGACGCTTGATATTTTGTTGGCATGTTCACTCTATTCTTTTGAGCTTGTGAAAGGTTGAAAACAGTACATGGGTCACCCATTACTGTCTTCAGGGGCCCCAGGAGGGCATCAGTAGGTTGCACCATCTCTCCCCCACCTATACACGGGAGCAAGTAGGCAGCAAGAACTAGTGGGAAGAAGCATAGAATGCCATAAATGGAAGGAAGTGGGAAAAAACTCCAGTGATTCCCCCACCCAGGTCCCTCAGAATCTAGAAACTTGGTGTGTCTTGAGTAGAGACTCCTCAGAGAAAGGAACGCGCGGCCAGCCCAGGAGCAGGCCATGCAGATCTGTGGTTGCGTGGTGTTGTGGGTAGCAGTTCTGAGCAGGAGGGAAGAGCATCCTCCTCTTGCTTTGAAGTCTATATGGAAAGCGCCAAAACTTTGGCATTTGGACAGAGAAAAACAAGCAAAGAAGCCTTTCTGTTTGTCCCCCTCCCAGTTTGGGGAGTCTCCTCAGAGGAGTCCTTTAAGAAAATGGGGCATTCTGTATGGAAAGAGAGAACCAGAGAACTCTGTGTGGGTCTCACATTTAGACAATCTGTCTACAGACAGAAGCACATGGTTCTTTAAACACCATCCTTTCCAGGATCCCTGATCTGCTCCCCATGACCTCATCTTCCATGTCATAGCCAAGTGTGCCTGACTCCCTTCCCCCGGCCCTGGGATGTCGCCCAGTCACCTTGGAAAGGTCAGGGAAATTGGAGTTGCCCTCTGGAGCTTGGGATGGGAGACTCAGAACTTAGATGGATCTCTTTTCATTAAGCAGTGTCCTGGCTTAACAAGCAGTTTTATAAATCTGAAGCTGTCTCCGGGTGTCGCGGGATTTATAGACGGGGGTTTCTGCCATAAAGTGGTTTATGATGGCTGCCTTCTGTGTTATTAGTAGCTGTCTCTTCCTTCAAGCATTGCTGTTTGATAATAGCCTTAAAACACCCAGAATTACTTACCTGCAAGCCCCGTTCCCAATAGCCCCTGTTGACAGTCCGAATAAGTTTACTGCCCTTTTGTTGTACTTTACCTTCAAAACAAACTGATTGAAGCATCAATAGCTCGCGGAAGCTGACAGAGCCACGTCATGTGGACTGGCCCTTGTGATTGCAGGTTATCGGGGAGTTAACCTTCCCGCATTGTTAACTGAAATGTTTTATGTACTATGCAACTTTAGGATACGGCTGTGATAACCTCAGTAACTAAGTCATACATCACGATAAAGAGATTTTGGTGCAACAAATAACCCAGGATTAAATTTACAAGGGTGGAATTGATATTGTAAAAGCCTTCATTCCGTGGCTTCGGGAGGCCTCTCTTGTATTTTTATGGCAAGCTTGTATAATACTCAGGATTGAAGCTGCAGCTTTTGACATCCTGACATGACCTAGAACAAAGGGAAATAGATCTCCCGAGACTGGGATGGGACAGGCAGGCAGAAAGCCCACTGACTTATCACTTGGCAGTAATGTTTGGAACCTGGGCCAAACCACCAACGGGCAGGAATTTCTGGTGGATGTGGCCACTGTCTGCGTTCTGTCTGCCGCAGGTACGGGGCAGGGCAGACCCCTTCACAGAATTGGGAAGGAGACTCTTCGCTACCTTACCAACCTCATCATCCCAGAACTGTTATTTTTCATGCTGTGATTTGTCACTTGGACAGCGATTCTCATCAGGACCAGCAGCCTCAGCCTCACCTGGGAATTTATGAGAAATGCAAATTCCAGGCCCCTCTCCAGATGTAGTGAATCAGAACCTCTAGGGGTGGGGCTCCCGTCTCTCTTTCAACAAGCTTGTGAATCACTATATTAGGATAGAAACCCCTTGAGAGCAGGGACCTTGTCTCATTTGTGCATCACCTAGGCTCAGCACCTAGCACAGGTGGTAGCTGCCTACTAATTATTTGTTGGGTGAATCAATGTATGAGTAAGTAAGGAAAAGATGACATCTCTAAGGGAGAAAGTTTGGACCCTGGGCTGAGTCTCAGACCCAGTATTTTGGACAGGTTTTCCTAGTGTTCCTCAAATCTTTCTAAGCAGGAACCACCTGGACACCCCAGGCTGGCTGTCAGGTGGGAGTTAAGTCAGCCCTATATCAGGGTGACAGGAAGCCTGTTTCATGGCTGTTTCTTTGATTATATCAGAAGAGTGCTCTGAAAACAGCAGCTCTTTGTCATCTACCATTTTAACTAGCTTAAAAGCCAGCTCGCTCTCTCTCCCTCTTCCCCCCCCCCCCCCCCCCCCCCCCCCCCCCCCCCCCCCCCCCCGCCCTCTGATTTGAGGGCTGGGATCCAAAGTGGGGTGAAATGACAACGTGCTGTCTGTTGTCACCATGGTTCCTGGCAGCCCTGTGAAGACATCTTTCACTCCATCATTAAACACTGGCTGGGTTTGTAATGCTGATGTTTTCTTCACCTGAATATTCATCTTTTCCCACCCTACACTTAGTGGTTGTCTTTCCTCCTTCGAGCGTCACTCCTGACATATTGTTTCCATCTGTACATGTTTTTACTTGGAAAAATCTGTTGTCATCCAGACTTTGCCGTACCAGCAGAAGGCGGAATTCTCTCTGACATTGACTGAGGCCAGCGGGAGTTCTGCTGGAGGAGAGAAAGGTCACCTGGGCTCCTTGTGGAAATTTCTGGTTTGGGATAAGGTTAAGGACCTTTGGCGAGGGGAGGGAGAGGCTCGGGGAGAAATAGAAAAAAAAGATAATAGATTGAGGCCAGAGAGCAAGCAGGAAATAGATAGTCAAATTCCCAGGACGTCAGATGTTGGGGTATAGAGTTCTGGGGATGAAAAGTATACCTCCAAAGAATTTGAGAGTATTTTGACTTTAAATGACTAACATGAAGGTTATCGCTAGAGATCTCTAAGTTGTTGTCTCTGGTGTTTGAGTGATCAGCTATCTTTCCCCTAGACAAGCATTGGAGGTCACATGTGATGTCAGAGTGGGGCCTGTCCTGGGAACCCAGGGCTCCCCTAAAAAGGGAGGTACCCTACTTACCCCAAGTCACATTTGCACTGAGAAGCTAATGCTTGGGGTTGCTTTAGGGTTTGTTTCTTTGAGGCCTACTTATCCTCCTTCAGCTGTTAGTTTTTAATTATTAGGCCCCTTTCTCTGTGCTTCCAAAACTACTGCATAACTTCAATCTTGGTACTTAGCTATGCTGTTTCTAATTTCTCTGTGTGAGTCTGTCATGCTGATGACACTGAAAATCCCTCTAAATGCAGGGACCATATCTAGGGCCTGGCACATAGTAGGTGCTCAAGAAATATTTGTGCAAGAGAAATGAACTTGTATTTTATTGAGTTAATTCTGATGCTACTTTGCAAGATGGCCTGAGGGTGAGCAAAAAAAGTTTGTTCCTGCCTTCAAGAAGCTTATAGTTTAGGTGAGGACATCAACGGAACTAAATTGCCAAATACCAGACACGTTGCATGGAACTTTGAGGTGGTCACCCAGCCTCCTGAGCTGTCTCTGCCTTTCTCTTCCAGATGCTTTGTTCTTCACAAGCTGCCCAATTTAAAGTTCTTGGATGCCAGGAAAGTAACCAGAGAAGAACGAGAAGAAGCTTTGGTCAGAGGGGCGTTCATGAAGGTGGTGAAGCCCAAGGTAAGCTGCCTAGGTCATGATCTTCTCGAGGGATTTGTGTCTCACCTCACAGGTACTCTTGGAGCATGGAGGGCGTGCTTCCATGTATTCAGAATGCAGTAGAGCTCATCCATGGGTACACTGTTAGTCAAACAAGAAGTAGGACTGGGTACACACTGGGTCTTCCCAGTCTAAGAGGACTTTATTTGTAAGGTGATTTCACTTGGATGGTTTGTTTACTGGTAAAGCAGCACCTTGCACAGCCAATGGTGATGTCCCAGGAGTAGGTGGGATTTAGGGCCTTTTTCTTAAAGATGGTTCATTTATAAGATGGTGCCTCTGCAGGTCTGGAGCTGAGAAAGGGGAAAGGGGAAAGCGTTGAGCACGTGCGCTTTCTCTGGTGGCTGGGATTCCTCTAGCACCTTACAGGGGTCCCTTCTTTCCTGGGACCAAAGGGGAGACACAGGAGAGGGATTTTCTTGGTTCCACAGCTGAGAATTCAACAGCTCTCAGAGATCCAGGTAGGGGGAAAGTGTGTTTTTCTGACAATTGGACCTGGGACGTGTGTGTTCCCTCTAGGTAGCTTTCTAGGGTTCATGGAAATGATGCTCACTGACCTGTCAGGCTGAGTCTTCCCTGAGGCCATGGAAGTGACCATGGGTCATCTTAATGACAACATTGATGAGGCAGGGGGGGCTTGGCTCTCAGACCCAAGGAGATTTTTAAGGACATGGACAACTATCTTATTAGGAGGAATTGGGGTCCTTCTATAAGGCCTGATGCTGGGGCATGGACTTGATGATACTTGGTGACCCCAGTGGAGATCCATCCCTGCCCTGGGACTCTGTGGAGTGACATTGTCATTTCCTGTGGGATCCTGGCATGCGTGTTGAAAACATTGTCCCAGAAAGCCAAGAGGTCCAGTTTTTCCTCACTTATTGACTTGCAGTGCTCCACCCAAGTATTGGGAATGACTGAGAGGGAAAG